GGTCCCCTTCCAGCTCTATTCTGATTGATTGATTGATTTTGATTGAACCATGTGGCATAAAATTTAAATTGTGGCATTATCACAATTGTGACTTCCTTAATCTGGAAATTTCCACATGATCTTGTTCTACTCTGCTGGCTAGAATCACGCAGAGTGTTGGCTTTGCTTATAGACTGCGTAGTTTCCAAAAGTACTGGAACAGTACTTTAACAGACTGGAGTTGACTGGCAGTTTTGCCCCTTTCAGGAACAATAAAATCATATATAATTGCAACTTTGGCTTCTAGAGGAATAAGCACAGATAGGGCAAAAGAACAATTCTATGCACAGTTACAAATTATCCTGAATTCATTACCTAAAAGAAATTAATCTTATTGCTGGTGACTGGAATAATGCTCACGCTGGCAGCAATCAAAAAGGCTGGGAATTACTGAACAAATGACAATGGCCTATGCTGCTTATCATTTGCAGCAGCGAATGAATTAATAATTAGAAACAACTTATTTCAGCACCCACTAAAATATCAATTAAGGTAGAGGTCACTCAGTGGAAAAGATACATCAGACCTTGACTATTTTCTTAGCAACTGTTGGTTTTGAACATCATTCCTGGAAGTCTGATCAATGAGAGACATTGATTTTAGTTCTAACTATAATTTTTTATGTACAATCCTACAACTCAAATCAACTGCTCCTAATGCAGCCACTCCCAAACACTATCCAAATGATGCTCACCAACCAATTTGTATCCCTGAATGTACGGAAGATGTAAGTAACTGAATGCTACGGTTCTCAGAAATAATTAAAAGCACCAAATAATTTTTTCTATATTATAATAGTGAATATGAACATGGATTTCAAATGAATGCCTAACATAGTAGACAAAGGGTAAACAATGTAAATCCAAAGTTATAATACAATATTGACAGCTTAATAAGGAACTCTACACCTGCCTGAAAGCAGTATGGTCTACCTATTGGAATAGCATTGCAGAAGAATTTCAAGAAACTACACATTTCCATAAATATTGCACTGTTTAGACCCCCACAGGTAAATTTCAAAGCATACATAACAACATCCAAAAGACAGATGACACTTTTATAGGGTTAGAATTGAACTGATTGGTCACTGGCACGAATACTTCCAGCTCCTTTATAACCTCCCTGTTTTTAACCCCCCAGATGGAACCACTTAAGAATGTGAGCTCAGAATCTCTGAAATAAAAGCTGTCACCCATCAATTTAAAAAGTTTGAAAAATGTTAGAGCAGACTCGGTGGTGATACACTAAATTGTCCATTTATTCCTCCAAATGAACTGACATACTGAGGAAATAAAGGCAATAAAAGTTCACATTTTCAATAAAGAAGACAATCAGATATGCAAGAACTATCATTGGGTTACCCTGGTATTAATTACAGATAAACAAAGACTTCAGAAAATAAATTGCCTCAGAAAAATAGGCTGGCTTCCAGTCTGGAAGAGGTTGCTGTGATCAAATATGTGTATGTATCAGCAAATACTTGAGGAATGCATCAAGTGTGGAAATAAATCATTCTGGGTTCATTGACTTTATAGCAGCTAAGAGCATGCACCAGCCAGTGCTATGAAAAGTACTCGTAACAGAAAGTATACTGGCTAAAACAGTACATCTCCTGCAACAGATATGGGTAGTCTTCAAATTAACAAGGGTAATTTGGATCAAAATCTCAGTCACTAAGTGATGTGGTCATAAACTGTAACACCATGTGACCGCATCACTTAGTGATGGCAATCCCAGCATTCCTTGTTACCATTATTAAGCAAGTCCCAGGCAGGTGCGAGCAAACAACAGCAAGCAAGTTGTGGGCAAGGTGTAAGGGTGGTGAGGCTGGGGGTGGCTGCTGCCGAGTTGGAGAAGATACATGAGTGCCCCATGAGGCCTGGTAAGAACACGGCTGGGCAGGCAGGCTGCTCTCAGGTAAGGGGGTGTGAGTTACTTATTGGAGGAACTGGCAAACCTCCCTGCCAGCTTTTCTAATGATTTTGCTTACGTGAGATGTAATTCCAAGTTGTAAATGACTGTGTGAGAGAATAAATTAAACTTAAATAAATTGATTTACTGATTTCAGCAGGTGGATTTCATGGTTTGGGAGACAAATGTCTTCTGTGCTGTCATCTTCATTAAGAAACATACATGCATTTGCAGCCTGGGATCCTTTTGGATCTAGCAATGATGCTGGCAAAATGATTTTAATGTTGAGGAGAAGCTGTTTATCCACTTTGGCATAGGTACAATTCTATCTGAAGGAGAGATATCTCATTTAATTTAATGAGGTCACTGTAGGCCATCCTTTGAAGAAAATCCAGAAACTGCAATTAGGCCAAGTAGTGAATGGCGTCTCTGTGAAAAATTACATATCAATATTGAAACAGTATCACTAGTAGCTGGTTGCCTTCTGTATGCAATTCAAAGTGCTCAAAATTTCTTCTGAATTACCTATTCCCACATAATCCATCTCTCACTCTCAGGTCTAATACAACATCTCATAAAATTCTTGCTATGGAAGCATTTGACTCCAATGCTATTTTCTTCATGTGAGGTCTCTTTTAAGGAACAATGTCACTGATATAGAAAGAAATCTCCTGATTACACGATTTAGAAAGTGCCACAATAGTTATGGGATTGGACTTTAAATGCTAGTTTTGGGTTTCATGTTTTAATGTTGTTTTTACACATTTTATCGTATGTTTGTAAGCCACTCAAAATCATTAAGATAATGAGTGGCACATCGATCTTTTAAATAATTAATAACTGTAGCGTGATTTTTCACATTTTCCATAAATGGGAATCTAACCTGAGTGTCACTACTTAATGAGTGGCTCACCCCAAATTTATAGTTTTTCAACTTTAAAAACAGCCTTCCTTCCTTCCTTCCTTCCTTCCTTCCTTCCATCCATCCATCCATCCATCCATCCATCCATCCATCCATCCATCTGGTAATATAGTAATATATGTGTATATCTTTAGATAATATGAAAATATGTATGCGAAACTATACTAAATGTGACTTCTAATTATTGCTATAATGATACTGTAAGTATCTTGCAAAGAAGGGGAAATGCTATGACAAGCCTGTTTTCAATAGCTTGGTAATATCTATCAAAAGCAACTCCATAAAAAAGAGGTGTTACTGACAAGAGAAAGATAAAACACTCATCAGAAGTCAAGTAATCGTTTCTGGAGTAATATGGACCTAGCCTTCCTGAGACAAGGAATACTAATGGAGAGAAACCAGCCAAGTCTTGGTGGAAAATATAAATGTTACTTTTTTTTAATGAAAATATGTCATAGCACTCTGTTCATTACTCACTGCTTTTTATTGAAGAATTTCATTTCTATATTCCAATGATTGCAAATTTAAATGTAGCTCACCTTAAGGGCAAAAGACCAGAATAATTTCAAAATAATTTCCTTCCCTTGGCCTGCCACACAAAGTGCCAAGTCAAATGAAGATAAGGGCCATTTGCTGAAATCTCCTTAGCATCAACAAATTTTCTTCACTACAATTACCTATTTCTTTCCTAGAGAGATATGGGAAAGGTTATTTTTTTTTAAAAAAAAAAAAAACATGATAACTTTTAAAATACTTCTTGTAATAATGGTTTTAATACATTCTCTAATGCAATTTTTACCTGTTTTTCCTTCAGGAATGACTCTGAGCAAAGCATACTCATTTAAAATGATGCTGCAATGCTCAACTCTTCTAAATTATTCGTGTAAAATAGTTATAAGACAATTGTATAATTTTCGGTAGATAATAAAGGCTCTATGTTTAATACGATGACTAAATGTGTTGTTCTGTACTAAAATGGTAGCAAAAATTCTATTTCCCTGTTCTTTAGAAGAGGAGCAAACTGACTTTAGGGGGTGTTCTTGATGCTCTTTGAGCTTGGTCGTTTTGTTTTGGGTCATTACTCAAACTACCATAGGTAACGTCATCAGCGCTAGTCAAGGATAAAGCAAAAAATTGAAACAGATCTTTTGCTTTGGCATCTTTACCTGAGGAATATTTTTCCACTGTATTGTCTTCCCCAGAGAGCTTTTAATTCTCACAAATTCAACTGTTTTGCTGTAGATGTTACTCATTTGGTACACACTACCTAAATCTCCCTCTGAACTATCACAACTGTTCTTTCTATATGCACACACACTTTTTAAAGTTCTTCCTAAAGCCTGCTCTGGTAACTAAAAAAAAAAGGCCATTTACTTTTCCTTCCCTTTTGCTGCATGGAGTTAAATGTACTGAATATTAACTTCTTGAGAGAAGACTGCAGCTAATTCTGTCAACGATCAAACTGGGTTATGTCAGATGAAAGCAGTAAAGATGCTGCTGCTAATAAGGATGAGATCAGCCCAAAATCTGCTATTGCAGAGGAAAATACTGCACGGGTTTTGGGACGCATTCTGCTTTCATCTCCTTATCAAATTATGCTAACTGTTCCATATCAAAAGAGCCTAAGTTCTGAAATTTTAATTACCAAATATCATTCATAAAGGGGAAAACTGAACAACAATCTTCTTCTTCACCCTTCCCAGAAGTCTTTATTCATTACTAAACAGCTAAGATTGTCAAGGATATCTCAGTTCGTAGCAGCCTGTTTAAAGCTCAGAGCAGGTGAGGAATGATATTTCCATATACACCATTCATTCACATGCAAATGTACCTAATGGTTTCAGAATAATTGTTGGTATATAAAAGTGATCTTTCCTGCTTTTGCACTCACAACCTTACAAGCCCCACATCCTCCCAGTACATTTAAGTAATAATGTGCAGCGGTTTAAATATTATATAGGTCTTATAAATTACAATATTCAATATTGTAAATTACAATATACAATATGCATATAACATGGTACCTCTGCATTACATGCACAGAGAGCCAAAATCCAACTTCATTCTTTGGTTGCAATGAGTTCCTTTTGTCAAAAAAACCCCCAAAAGTATAATTTTATGAACTTACTTGAAATGCAAGTCCTTGAAGGTAAAATGAGTCTCTACAATGCCTGTAGTCTTCACTCTGGTTCTCAGCACATCTTGCTGGGTTGGGATATAATCCATTCTGCCTATCCTCTCCAAATCATTCAGGTAGCTGCAGAAAAAAAAATGTTGGGGTTAACGAACTATCTTACCTGATGTCCTCAAGATGTACTAAACTATATACCAGCTTAGTAAGCGCTATCATTCACAGCCAGCATAGCTATTATCTCATACCCCCCACCGACCTGTACGCTCTCACAGAGTGGGTCTCCTCAGGGTGCCGTCGGCCAGACAGTGCCGGCTGGCGACCCCAAGGGGGAGGGCCTTCTCTGTGGGAGCTCCCACCCTCTGGAACGAACTGCCCCCAGAGATCAGGGTGATTCCTGATCTCCCTTCCTTCCGCCGCGCCCTCAAGACGTGGTTGTTCCAG